AAACAGTTGCTAAACCCCCAGAATGTTTGTGCACCTATTGGCACATCTTATCACACCTGAGTCATTTCTGTATTCCATAAGATTTCTGGCTGTATAAGACTATTGATTTCTACCCCGTATACACACATACACACACACACACACACACACACACACACACACACACGCACATGCACACGCATGCGTGCACAACGGCTTGCATAGCCCCTTCCAGTACTATAAGAGGAGGAAGTTTTCTGATCAGTACCAAGTTGATTTCTCCACGTCCTGGAACAAATGTGTGTGGCGTCGTTAGCAACCAGGAACAACGCCAATAGCCTGTATTGTTGTGGATGGCTCTCCAGGTATTGTTGACCAGAAACTCACTGCTGTTAGTAAATTTTAAGTGTTGACTCTCGCCTACAGCTGTCCACATTTCCAACCAGCGTGCTATCTCTCATGCCTTTCCATTATGCTCACCTTTCTACTTGTTCATACCCAGATTCCAACCTAATCCTATCCTCCCTGCTGCTGTCCCAATAATGTAGACCCTTGGAACCTGTCATTCAGAGCCTGTCATTACCATGGGGTGCAGCCTTCCAGAAGCCCTGCACTCCCCAGTGCACAAACGTCACCCTTTGGGAAACAGGAAGGTGACACTGACCTGAACACCTCTCCTTATGATTTCTCAGGTCAAAAGCACCTTGTCACGATTGTAGTTGCAACCAAAGGGGGTACTGGAAAATCAGGTATCAGCATCACTGGCAACAAGCAGAGGAAGTGCGCTTACAAGGGAGAGCCCACTGCTCTGTGATAGCCACACAACAGGACTCCAAGGGCACTAGAACACGATCAATGCTTTTCAAGCTGGTGATTCTAGCACTCTGGAGCTGGAGCTAGGAGAATCAAGAATTCAGATTCATCCTTGGCTATGTGACAAGTTCCAGAACAGTTATATCGCCTGCGGGATGCCATCCCCAAACAAAAAGGAAGAGTCTCCTATGAACATGGACTTCTCATTGCTTAGATGTTGGATGGAAACCAAAGTCAGATTCTAGAAATGAGACCCCATAGAAGTTATTTCTGAACATTGGGATTTGAAGTAATTTCCCTCTCCTTATTTTATTTTGTTCTAATTTTTCAACTTTCCTGTAAGTGTACATCACAATTAAAACAAAACTCTGTGTGCACGTGTGTGTGTGTGTGTGTGTGTGTGTGTGTGTGTGTGTGTGTGTGTATACATATGTGTGGAGACAAGAGGTTAACTCTGGTGTTGTTCTGTGGAAGGCAGTTGTTTTGAAGCAGGGTCTCTCCACCCAGTTGTTTTGAAGCAGGGTCTCTCTACCCAGTCATTTTGAAACAGGGTCTCTCTACCCAGTCGTTTTGAAGCAGGGTCTCTCCACCCAGTCATTTTGGAGCAGGGTGTCTACCCAGTCATTTTGAAGCAGGGTCTCTCTACCCAGTCGTTTTGAAGCAGGGTCTCTCTACCCAGTCATTTTGAAGCAGGGTCTCTCATTGGCCCCAGATTGGCTCATTTGTTTGTCTGATTTGGCTGACTGGGGTCCCAGAGCTGCTCATATCTCCTTCTTCACCAGTGCTGGGATTATGAGCAGGTACCCCCATGGCTAGCTTCTTGTGTGGGTGTTGGTGATGGGATTAGTCCTTGTGTTTATGTGGTAAGTGCTGAACTGACAGAGCTACCTCCCAAGAAGAATATGTTCTTGAATCCTAATGATTCTTTGAGACTCAACTTGGCCCACTCAGAAAACTTTCCCTGTATTAGACTCAGGTCCTCCCCATCTTCTTTTAACTTGTTTGCCAGAATGCTTCCTCTTAGCATATGGGTCATAATTGGCCTTGATTTAGACCTATCATAACTGTTCATTTCCTCCATTTTATCCTTCTTCTCTGCTGAGAATATGGCCTGGTCACCTTTGTGCTTTCCGTGAGGAACCAACCAAGTACCCGCTCCACAGTGGAAATAGGTGAGCTGGCATGTTTCTATCCATGTGGTCTGATGTGGTCACTGTTCTGATCAAAGATATTGAAATCCTAGAGAAAGCACTTCCTCCAATCCATTTAGCACTTGTTTACCGAACTAGCCAATGAGAATTAGCTTAACAATCAGGGTGGATGAGGCTACACACAGTGCTGTCTTTCTGGCCTTCCCACAAGCAAACAGACCAGTAGGGCAGTGCCCATAGAACTTTGAGACCCTTTTTCAGTAGCTGAGAAGAGCCAGCTTCACACCCAGAGTTGGCTTTTGTCCTTCCCTGGATGCACCACATCAGCCCTCACCTCTCTGAAAGACTTATTCAGTTCTTTTCCGAAGCAGGGGCTGCTAGCATTAGCCTCAGGGCTCGCACTTGCCAGGACCAGGTCAGCCCAGGCCTCTAAATCACTCTGGATTCTTACCCCTCCCTGCTGTGCTGACAACATCAGGAAGCTGCTGGGAAGGCCACAGCCCACACTAACAACTGACAGATAAAGCTGAGTTAAAGAAACAAACATGTTGAAAACCCCATTCAAGGAAAGTTGTTAGCAAGTGTGAACAATGCTGGTGATAACAGGACTTTTCCCAGAGGCCCCTTGGAGGAGCCTGGTTGCTCACATTTATTTCAGGCCACCAGAGTCTTATCTTGCCGAACCATGTGCTCACATTTATCTGCCAGCAGCTGGACCCCCCTGAAGTCGACACACAGGCCAGCTTGCACTGCTGGCCACCTAATGAAGATCAGGTGGTGGAAAAGACCCGCGCTCTCTTTCCTTTGCTCTCAGATGGATCGTGCAGCTCTATAGCAGCGGGAGAAGTAGATTCCCAAGCCCACTGTGAGTGTGTTCATATTCAGGGGCAGAGTCTTCTCACAGCCCAGTCCAGGGTCTGTTTGTAGCTCTTTAAGGCATTGAGTTACCAAGTGTTCTCTGAATATCAGGATCATGCATAATCAGAATAGGCCCCTCCCCCAAGATTCTGGAAACCCTTTGTGCATTTGAACAAACAGTGTGGATGGTCAGGGAGCTGATATTGTGGGACTAGGCAGAACCCAGCTTGTAGAATCAACCAAGAGAATAAAATTCTGACGCAGAAACATCCCTAGCACAAATCACCTTCACCGGGGTTTAAATCAGTAAAGACAGCAGACGCTTGTTCAGAAGAACTGGGATCAACGGCTGAAAAAAGCCAGGGACAAGGCAGGTAGTGGTGACTGCTAAGGCCGAGTGGAGCTGGAGAGAGCATGGAAAGATGAAAGGATGGAGTGGGTGGGCACGTGCTGAGGACCACCCATCCACACCAGGAAGCCACGATGGTTGCCAGGCAAAGAGCAAACAGATGTTGGAAGAATCTGGGTGACAGACAGCAGGGAGGCCATGGGGACAGGCATTGAAGTTCAGCTCCAGCTCGAGGAGGAGGCCACATAAGGCTGCTTAGGATCTGTTCTGAAAAGCAGGGCCACAGCAGCTCAACTCAGTTAAGTTAGAGTTTGCCTACTGTCCTCCATAAGCCAATACTAGGCTCAGGGATATGATCTTGTTCTCAAGAAGAAAACAGCCAGATAGGGAGGTAAGCGAGTTATAATTCTGAATGTTAACCTCCATAATGCCATGTATCTTTAAAGGGCGAAGTTCAACATGCTAGAAATTCCAAGTGAGCAACACTGCCAAGGAAAATTAAGTTGGGTTCCTGAATTGAGTGACACACTCTGGTGGAAAGACCAGGAATGAGGAGATTCAAAGGAAATGGTTACAGTGCTGGAGAAATGGTTCAATCAGTAGAGTGTTGGGCATGCAAGTGGGAGGACCTGAGTTTAGGTCTTCCTCACCCACTTAGAAGCTTTTACACCTATGGGGGCACTGGGCTATATTCATAACCTCAGTGTTGAAGATGCATGGGCATCACCAACCCAGAGCTCATTGGTGAGTCAGCCTAGCCAAACTGGTGAGATCTGGGTCAATGAGAGACGCTGTCTCAGGAAAGAAAAGTGGAGACCCACTAAAGAAGACATGTGACACTGACCTAGAACTTTATGCACACCTGTATACATGGACACACACGAGCACACACACATACACATGAGCACATGCAACACACACACACACAATTTAAGAATGGATTGGAGAAAATACAAGTGATTTTTCCTAGCAGTCCAGGTGGGGGGGCACTGGGGACACTGGCTGTGGAGAGGATGCTTCTCTAAGGATAGCTTTGAGCTTTAGAAACATATCCCCTGACAAGCAGAGCTGGACCAGAGCACAGTCCGCATATCTTGGGGTGTTAAGAAGCAATGGCATCCCCATTTAATTTTTTTGCTATTTGTTATTGTGGTCACGGTGATGAGAAAATAACTAATAAACCTGAGCTTTGAAGGGAGCTGGGCCGAGTTGAACTCCAGATGAAGCTGGGAGCTGTGGGCATTCAGGACACATACATAGCCATTGCGTTTTACAAGCTGTCCCAATGCAGATGAGGAGGATGGATGGATTGGTCAAGTGATGAGACTTGTCATGACTCTGCTAAATGATACATGGGAACAGAAAATGCAGAAAAGATCAGCACCAAAATAAGGGTCCATGAGAATGAGGCAACTTCAATGATAGAAGTGGGGGAGTCAAAGTACTAGAGCCATCAAAGGCCCCCATGGTGGTATGGGTCATTTTCCTCATCACTGTGGCAGAGTGTGTCAAAAAAGCAATTTCTCAGGACAATGCTTAGCGTTGGCTCAGGGTTCTATGGAACATCGTCATTATAGTGGGGAACACAGGATACAGTCCATGGTGACGAAACTGAGAAGGTAATGCTCCTCTCGTGCCAGCAGAGCAGGAAGTAGATATGGGACAGGAAGTGGGGCCCATTCCCCTGGTGACCCACTTCCTCCAGCTAGAACCTGCCTCCCGAAGTTTCCATGACTTCTCAAAAAACCATGCGTGGAGGACCAGGTGTTCAAACACAAGAACCTATGGAGGACAGTACACATCCAAGGTCTCACAAAGATCAACTAGACCGCACAGAAGTATAAGGACAAGCTCTAAGACTATAGCTCAGCTGGTAGAGCACTTGCCTAGCATGCAAGAAGCCCTGGGTTCAATCCCCAGCACTGCTTAAAGTAGACATAATGTTGCACACCTGTTTCCCAGCACTGGCGGTGTGGGCAGGAGGAGCAGAAGTTCAGAGTCTTCTTTGGTTCTTCAGCAGCTGGAAGCCAGCTTGGACTACATATGCCTGTCTCAAGGGGGAAAAATGTAAGAAAAATAGTGTAATATTATAGGCAGAGAGGGGAACGCTAGGAGCGTAAGAATGGAGCTGTGAGGACCCAGGAGAGAGAGGAAAGGATTGAAGGAGCAGGTCCTGAGGAAGTCAGGGAGAACAAAGCAGGAGGGTGACTGATGGATTGGCATTTGAGACAAGGATCTGTGCCGATCCATGCCTGTAAGCAAGCATTTGAGGCGGGAATTTGGAGGACGCTGGTCGTTTGGGATGCCCAGCAATCTGCTGTGAGGTGGGAAAGTGGACAGCAGGGGAGCTGTCGAGGAGTTTCCTGCCTGTTGATTAAAACGCTCCTTAGTGATTACCTCATCTAGTCTACCATGTGGGGCAATGGTGGCAGGGGGCATTTCCCTAGCTCTAGGTGACAAGAAGACTGGGGAATTATCGATAAAAAGTGTCACACCTGTGAAAGAAGGAGGCTGGGACAGATGTAAAGGAAAAGTGGAAACAGGTAACTTCTGATGGAGTAGAAGAAATGGAGGAAGTCAGGATCCCCAGGGACCTCAGGAAGTGGAGTGCGGGAGTGATTCAATGTAAACGTATGGAGGGAAGAAGTGTGGTTTAATGGTGTGTGGGGTGATCTGGACATGACACTGTACTGGAAGCATTCCGCGTCACCACAAAGGTGAGGCAGCTGTCACAGCGGGTATAACACTGTCACACCCGCCTTAGGTGTCAAGTATTTCTTTCCCTTGTATGACAATACCCCACCAGTCTTCTTCAGGGATGACTCCACATACAATGTCTGTCCGACACCCTTCCTGTGTGCATGCATCTCTTGATAAACATTGGGACAGAGTCCTGCAGCCAAGGCCGGGTTGATCCTTCTTCCTTGGCTGCACAGACACGCAGCTCAATGCACACGGCAGCACACCTGCCCTGATAAACCATTCATTTCACACACACTCTCTCTGCTGTGCTCTGCACATGAGGCATGCGCATGGCATTATGTTTGGAGGATTGAGAGGAGTTAAGATGTGCCTTTCTTGGCCTTATGCTTTGAAACCTCTGGGGATTAAGAAACCTAAATAAACATTTCTTTGGGTAAGTGCTATGGGGATGAATAATTTCTAAAACTAAACTTTTTAACAATCCTACAATAAGAGGCTAATTTTGATAGTGAGTTACCACAAGAAAAATGGAAGTATAATAAGCAAATATTTTTATTTTATTTAAGCTAAACTGATATGCCACAGTGGTTTTTTTTTTACCTTCTATCATGCTATTGGATATGTTTTTTTCACTCTTACATATGGGAGAGATTTATTTATGAACAGAACAGGATGATGGGAAAATAGTTCCATGATTACTTACTCCTTCTCAACCTCCACATATTACAGTTTAAACTGCAGCTACAGTAAAAATACACAAACTGTAAGAGACAGATCGGAGTTGTGGGGACGACACCAATCACTGTGGTTAGTTATAAGATAGCCTGCCATCCTATGAGGTACCTACATGTTCCTTCTACCCCTTGCTGTCTCTCAACCATATGGTCTCCATTAGCTCAGGATGGTTCACAGTCCTGGTCATGGTTTGAATTTGGAGCATCTCCTGCAAGCATGCGTTTGGAGCATTTCATCCCCAACTGCTGTCACTACATGGTGGGGGGGGGGGGGGTGGAAACTTCAGGAGGTGGAGTCTAGCTGGAGGAAGGAAGTGAGTAGAGGTGACCCAGTCCTGGCTTCCAGCACCATCTCTTCTGAGATCTGCTGTGGTGTGAGGAGCTCTGCCTTATGGCTGCCACTGTGGACTCTGCCGTGATTCCCCACTGTGACTGACTAAGACCCTCCAAAAAGGGGGCTGAGCTGAGCCTTTCCTCCTGTAATTATTTCAGTCGTGTGTTTTCTCGCAGCCATGTAGGTGTAAGATTTATAGTCTCTAAAGCTGGAAATCAGCCTGAGGGTCCAGAATAGAGTTGCCAGAAAGTTCTTTCTGTCTCAAGTGTGTGCACTTGAGGAATTACTTGAGTGTGACAGATGATAGATTAGAGATAGATATTTCAGAAGATTGATGATAGATAGATAGATAGATAATAGGTGGATAGATATGGTAGAGATAGTAGATGATAGATAAATGATAGACAAATAGATAATAAATGATAAGTAGATCTATTGCATAGATCTATTTAGATAAATGGTAGATAGATAGACAGTAGATAGCAAATGAATGATAGACAAACAGATAATAAATGATAATGGATAATAGATGATAAGTAGATATATTATAGATAGATAGATAGATGGATAGATAGATAGATGGATGGATGAAAGGAAGGAAGGAAGGAAGGAAGGATGGATGGATAGATAGATAGATAGATAGATAGATAGATAGATAGATAGATAGAT